CCTTATCTCTCCTCCTTTTTCGTTTGTTACTCTCTTGTAACACCTTTAATCTTTGTTACCGTACTTACCTGACCTATTTGTGTTGCAAGTGCCGTAAAACTCATACTAAAAGAAAACTACCTCGCTGTTCTTGCTTTTTCCCTACATGTTTATCACCAGTGACATGAACAAGTCAAATAACATTTCAACAACAAACACCATCATATCTCTTAAACTGTTGGACGACTCGCTCTGGCATTTGATGACTCTATGCACTGATTAGGTCGATTTGGGGGGGGGGAGTTTGGTGGTTAATGTTTTACGTTGCTCATAACTGCAAAAGGTTATAATGATATATGAGTACAAGACTTATTAAGCATTTTCAGGTTGGTAGGAATTAATTTCAAATTTTGTCTGGGTGGCGGCTGAAGCCTACCACCAATGGATCTTTAACGATAACATGCGCAACTTGCACATATGGGGCCTCCAAGATTTTTTTCCACCCTTATCTGAGAAATACCGAGAAGGCTAGGTATTACATGTAGATCTTACCTACCCTAAGATCAGGGGTGAGGCTGAAAGACAGCAGTGAGAAGGAGCCAGGAGAAGCAGTAGAAACAGCAAGCATCCCAGAGGAGGGAGCAGGGTGGGGGCAGAAAGTGTAGATAAAAGCAGACCACAGAATATGGTCAGAGAACTGGAAAGGGGATGAAAGAACATTTTACGAGAGAAAATTTTCTGTCACTTTATGTGCATGCAAGGACAAACATTCATGCAAATTGATCAACATTTATTTCACAGCCTCCATGACTTATCAGGTCTTCACCTTTAGGAAATGGCTCATATCTATATATTATATTGTTTATCACATTACCTCTACCCCTGACCAAAAATTGCTTTATTGTCTTGATATGCTTCATTTCACTGAAATCATAAAAAGAAATAAAATATTTGCTGTCTATTGTGAACACCAAATCAGAACAAAGGGCACCTTTCATCGTTGTCATAGGAGAAATATTGTAAAGCTTTGTTTGGTCCTGCTTCCCTGAATAATTAAACGATTTGAGCAGCTCATTTTAGGGCCAATAAAAATTGCAGCTTGCGCTGTATGCTTCCCAGGAAGTTGAGATTGTTTCAGAACACTTTCAAGTCCGCTGGGTTAATAATATAAATTGTAAAGTGCATGTAGCTTGCTGTGAAGCTGGAATTTGTGCAAATCAAATGCTATATAATTATTATCAATCTGACTTTTTTCAGCAACAATTTGCTATATACTGAATATAGGCCTCAATCAGCGTAGGAAAAAATAACAAACACAATATTAATTAGACATCAAATTCCCGGAACAGCCAGGTTCTTTTATTTGTTAACTTGTGTGTGACTAAATGATAAATGATGTACCACAACATGGATGCCAATGATACTCAGAAATCACGTAAATTCGAAAATGCTACTTTCAAAGAAAACAGCGTGTGATTAAAGGGTGCCAGAAAATGGATATTCCCCAGACCTGTAAACGTTTTATTTCAAAGTTGTATCTTATAATTTTCCCTGTGTAAACTTGCACTCTTCAGATTCAGACATGGTGCAAAAGGATTTCCAATCTTTTCAGACAAAAAAATAAAATGACCAAGTTTCAGAATTATGAAGTTCAGAACTGTTACTGATGATATGAATTAAATAAATAAGGCACTAACAAGCAATCTATATTCAAGTCAAATTCTAACTTATGCCATTGTCGAGTTAAATCTAAATTATGGTCTCAAATAAAGAAGACACCAACAAGCAAACTTTACTAAAGCCAGTATTCAAATTATGCCATTATAAGTTGTCGTGTTAAATCTAAATTATAGTCTTGTTCCTCTCCCAACCGAAGGTCCAACCGACTTAACTATTGTATCTACTTTTATCAACAATAGACCAGCATAGACTAGACAGGTCACTTTATTATTAGTCTAATTCAACAGGGAAAACATGTTCAAACCTTAAAGTTAAAGCTTTATGCTTAAGTTTTAAAGCTCAAAATTAATTTCATATGACAAAAATTGGCTTTCATATCCATAATTCCATAACAATCATCATCATCATCATCATCATCATCTTCATCATGAAGTGCCAGATCATGGTTCGATATTCTTTTTAAAACATTTTTAGTAGAGGGTTTTACTGTGCTCGCAACTGCATAAGGTCATATGAGCGCCAAGGGGAGGGTACAGAGAAGTCTTTACAGGGAATCGGACTTACTCAGCTCACCTCTCTAGCTTCAACAGCACAAAGTCTGCTTTGACTATCAAGGCATCCCGGAAATAGCGGGTCACAAAAGTGTGACAAACATACAAAAGAAGTAGAGGAAAATGACAATAGTAAGGATTAGGAAAGAAAAAGCAGCAGTTCCCTGTTGTAGATCAGGCACAGTTATGATCATCATGAATCAGCCCATTAACAATTCTACTGTGCTTGAACGAGAAATGTCCCCCCTTTGGGAATGGCCTAAAGACACTTCAGTCAGTGGCACCGCCCCGGGGGGTTAGTTCGACATTCATTTATTTATTTGCTCGGACTCGGATGCTTTAAAAAACAACAATATTATCTTGGTCTTTCCCAGTCACCCATCTGTTAAGGTTTTCCAAGTAATCAGCTTAAGTAAGTAATACATATTATAAAACATTGAAAACATCAGTAGTGCCCAGTTAGAAACTGGTAAATATCACATAAAAAAGAGAATGTTTTGAATTATGACTGCATGAAAATGAAAGATGGGGAATTCCATGTTTAAATAGGTTGAAAAATACCTGTTGATCGTGTCTGCCTGAGTATATGGCAGGGCAAGGCATTTGATAACTAAGTAGCTTTTCAATGAGAGCATTAATGAAACAGAATCAAACTGGCCCGAATCATATACGACGAAAGCTGGGGTTATTTTTTGTTGAGGTACCAACTGGCTATGTTAATACTTTGCAGTCACACAGCCAGCAGTACAAAATACCCCATCTGGTCACCCAGTCAGGAGAGCGACTGCAACAGACTTAATTGCACCAGGTGACTGAAACGGATAATTTTCACAGTCGCATTTTTATTGCGCTAAGTGACACCAAAGTGTTAAAATATCCTGAACTTTTCGGATCCTGGGGAAACACGCACTAAGGGACTTAACATTTAAGGATCACTTTGCCTAACAACACAGCTCATCGTATCGAAACCGTTGACAACAGTGCAACAACTTTTCAAAGACTGGCCCAAATCTGGGCAAAATGTGGACATTTTAATAGGAATCTGGATTTCTTGAATTATCCGTAAAATCTGGTCCTTTGCTTCTAGTATTCCAAATATATTATATTGTAATTCTTGTTGTTTGCGACTGAAAAGATTGAACATTAGCCCCAGGATAAACAGTAAAGGTAACATGTAATTCACCATTCAAACAAATTTTAAAAAACAAAGCCCAAAGGCATATATGAAACTAAATATATATTATATACAGAACAGGACAACATGTGTTATTTCTGATTATCACAAAAGAATGGATTCTGTTCACAACACGTGTTTTCTGGTTACACAAAAAATTCAAGGGAAAAAAAAGGATCCAAAGCCCAGCCAGCATGGTTTGATCTATATAAACATGTGGTGCCTAGAGTATAAAAAAAAGACATTGTTTTTCTTGAAATGAAGTTAGGCTGATTAAGATTAGAGGGAATAATTCTGCCTCAGCATGCAAATTATGGAACCCCCCAAAAAGCCTTCTTTTTTTTTCCTAGTACCTACTATATTACTAATACTAATCTGCCCTAAGCAAAACGTTTTTTTTTCTTCACAGCAGTATGGGATAAAAGAGGATTTTTTTTGTCAGCGTAACCATTTAAAAATAGAGTGATTCTGAAATTTGAATTTGAATTTATTCAAAAACTAGTCAGTTTCACTTTGATTTTTTCACTCAAGTAAGGTTACTGATCAGACTTTCGATTTAGCAAATAAAAAATGTTGGCGCCAAAACAAAAAAAAAGGCGTTTCGTCAGTTTACAGCAGTATTATCATAATTAAATGGAGGGGAAAAAAGTAACTGCAGTGGAAAAACAATAACTGGCTCAAAGTTTTAAAGAAAATTCTTAACTTTAGGCCAATGTCTCATGATGAAATAACAATCCATTAGGATCAGCAGGCGGATCATCACCAACAAAAAGTCAATTATCCATTGTGAAACTATCGGCCAAATCACAACAGGTTGAAACTCATGGCATCAAGTGGTAAATTCATGTGCCCACACAACAAGTAAACTTGTACCTAGGACGATCTCTAACAACTGGGCCAGTAATTTAGCTTCCTAAAATGTTGTCAAATTTTTCTGATACTAATTCTTATACAATTCATTGAAAACTTACACTTTTCTTTAGCAATAAAATTTAGCTTCCTAAAAAGTTGACAAGTTTTTCAAATACTAACCTATAGATTATATACAGCTCATTGAAAACTCCTACTTTTTTTTTAGCAGTATATTTTCCATACAAAGAAGTCTTTAATACGCAGCTGTCTTAAAGTTCAAGAAAAGTTTTCATTCAAAGATTGATAGAAATCTAATTAGATGTATATGTGAGGCATCGTAGTGAAATCAGGCGCCCATCAAAACAATGAAACTGAATAAAAAACAGGCATTTTTTCGCCCCTTTGGCAATTATTACAGAATTTTTGGTTTTTGGCTTAACACCATTGTTGTCCAATTATTTTAAGAACACATTTCTGGGTGACTTTTACTTAAAAACATTGATTAAAGACATAAAAACTGAAAATGAACTGTTTCAAAGGACTCTCAAGCTTTGGAAGTTGCCAAACTTTGGCAGTCATTTTCTCTCTAATTTTACCTCTGAAACCAGGCGACCCCCGCTTATTTCAATTCAAAATATCTCGACTTTTATTAAAGATAGCACTGTAGTTTTTAAAATTTAAAGCAAGACAAATGAACAAGTATTGAGATGATACCAATAGCTGCACATGCCCCCAAATTGACGAGCGCCTGATTTCACTAGTAGTAGTAGTATAGGATTTTACGGCGCTCGCAACTGCTAAGGTCATATGAGCGCGCCTGATTTCACTATGTCGTAACACATCTGTACAAAATAAGTCTTTCATGCAGCAGCCATCTTCAAGAAAAACTTTCATTAGAGGTTATATGTGAGAGTGAGAGAAATCTAAAAACAAAAACCCCCAACAAAATCTTTTACGATGACTCTTGCATAAGCTTGTAGGAGAAGAGGCTTCCAGATTGCATTTGTGGGTTCCCTTTCGCCTCCAGTTTCCTCTTTTTGCTGGAGGAAACTTCAACTTCCATGTCTCCTTCTGCATTCTCTGACCCTGGCGGACCGTACCCTCCACCCCCCGGAGTCTCCAGACGGAAAACATCCTGCGAAAGGAACAGAGCACATCATCAGCACGCTGGTCAACTGGTCGAAGCCCAGAAAACAAAAAAAATTTTCAGGATGGACAAAAAAACTGTTTCCCACTTGTCTAAATTTATACATGATGTATCCACATTCATTAAGTATCTTTAAAAAAAAATGTTTTTCTTGACATTTTGAATTTGAATTTTGACAAAATAATTCTCAAGCACATGCAACCAATAATACAGATTAATAAACTGCAATAAAAAAAAAATTAGGGTTTAGTCTGTCCTCAGAGAAATTCGCACCCGCAAGTTGCGCGCGCAACTTTTGCACAACTTTTACCATTTTCGTGAATTCGAGAATTTTAGCCAAGTTCCCGCAAAATTTGGAAAAATAATAATAAAATGTCATTAAAAACTCCGAAATTTTCTTCCACGACTAAAAATAACTTTGCACCATCAATCTGGCGAGCAAACCGACCCAATAGTCTTGTTTGGACTGAATCATCTTCTAGCCTAGCTAGGTCTAGATCTAGAGTATTTTATCACAAACACGGTCGTTTGATTACTTAGCTTGCTTGGTTGCGTAGATAGATCTAGTATAAAAATGTGTGAAAGACTTTAAATCTTAAGCTAGGACCAGGAGGCTAGATCTAGACAAGGATCGATTCATCCAGAAAACCCCTAAAAGGTACGTTCAAATAATATAATCTTTTGCCTGGAAAAAAAAAGGGGGGGGGGGGGAAGGGGGAGTCTTTGACTCCTTTAAAAGTGAAGTGTAAGAAATAGGGGGGGGGGCGGGTTGAAGCAATGTAAGATTACACTTTTGTAAGTTGAAAAAAATAATCAACGAAAATATAATTTACGACAACATAATAATTTTTTTTTAATAGCATAAAAAGAGAGTAACTACACTATTCACTTACAGTAAGTTCGAGCGGTAAGCACTGCATTGTGGTGATACAGTGGACCTCGAGCGGCAAGCACGAGATCATCTCGCAATTTATACACTGGTAGATATCGGGGATACATACATGACATGTAGATCTAGTCTAATTTTGATTACACCCGTGTGGTTAAAGTGGTAAAACGACACAGCAAGTTTTTCTGGAAAAGTGCTGCTTGTACCATATTTAATTATTATGTCACGGTACTATAATAAAAATTTTAAAAGTAAAACGCACAGAAGAGTGATTGTAAATGTAACACGGATTTGCACAATATAAATGTCATATTATTATTATTATAAGCGAATAACGTAATATTACAGTATTGAGGTGGGGGGGGGGGGGGGGGGGGGGGAGGCGCAGGAAAGTGTAAAAAGAAGTCTAAAGGGTGGGGGGGCAAAAAGTCCCAAACAAAGTGTAAAATTATATTTGAACAGCCCCAAAACCACGCTGGTCACACCTGCCCAACGTCAGCGAGAGTTTAAGGACCTGACGCATGTGTCAGGGGACAAACTGTTTTTGGTCACCAGGCAACCTCCGTGATTTTTTTTTTTTTTTTTTTGGTAGACATTCACATTTAACTTTAACTTCTGGTTTTGATCTAACAAAACTCATATTGGTTAATTTTGATTGCAATGAGCATAGCAACAATGTATTCCAATAGTTCCGTGGCATTGTTTTAGCTATACACGTCTTGCAACTTTTGCTAATTTTTTAGCAAATTTTTGCAACTTTTGCTATTTTCAAATGCAACTTTCTCTGAGGACTAAATTAGTACATCTGAACAGCTTACAGAGATGACTAGTACGTGCACAGAAAACTTAAGTAACAGAATCTGATTAATTGAAGACAGACCTGGTCTCATCGGTTACTTACAGAATAATTTAGAGAAAAACTTTTAAAATGATTTAGGAAACAAAAGCAATGCAGATCATAGTGATAACAAAAGAATACATTTGTATAATTACAAAAACTTTGTTTTATATCTCTACTTCTTTTGTTTACAACAGTAAGGGAAAATTAGGCATATTATTACAAAACCATAATCTGTTAGAAGAACATTTTTGTTGACTCCCTTTACTACAGTAAATGATGCCAACTTGGCACAGAGATACGACCCAAGCTGAGTGAAGTACAGTGCTGAAGTTTTTTTTTTTTTAAATTGAAAAAGAAAATTGTCGTAAAACTCACCCCACGTTTGACATCCACTGAATTCTTGGCTCCCAGATCAATGACCCTTCCATCAGAGTACGTGATCAGGTTACGACCGCGTTGACCTGGCATACCTCCTGAGAACAAGGAGACAGAGGTTACACATGTACACAGTTGTGATGTTGGCGGTCTAGTAGTTAGGCTTTCACGCTCTCAATTGTAAGGTTATGGGTTCAAATTCTGTATGGGGCCTGACATTGTGTCCTTGGGAAAGGTATTTAACATGAATTTTCCTCACTTCATGAATGTGGGAATGGATACCTGGCTATAGTCAAAGAAAGATCTTGTCAGTTTGTTAGCGTTTGAGCATGTAGCCTACATTCTGCAGCTCACACTGCATGCTTCCTTGGAAGCTGAGAATTTTCTGAGTGTTCTAGTCTAGGGTCTGCTAAGGTAATAATGTTTGTAAAGTGCAGAGAACATGCCGCAGAGCATGGACATAATGTGCTAAAAAATGCAATTATCATCTTTAGTATAAGTATTTTGTAAGAGAAAATCTTGTTTGAATTGGAGTGAAAGAAAAGCAAACCTACACAATGATTGACATTCAGTGCAAGGAAAAACCAGAGACAGAAAGGACATAGGGATAGTAAAGAATCAGAACCTGCCAAAGGTCTTCTCTCATCATCATCAGAGCAACCTGATTTATAATGTATGCAAGAGCAAGATGATTTTTTACCTTATCACTTATTAAAAAAACAAACAACAATGAACAACACTTTTAAGAAACTGAAAACAGAGAACCAGATGCAAAAATCCTTTGGAAAAGAATACAAATACAAGGTCATATCAAAATCTGGTTTATAAAAAAAACCCCCATAAACCAAAACCAAAATATCAACAACAAAAAAAGCCCTCACTGATGATGAGATCAAATTCAAAAGGATGACGAGGTATTTGTTTTCAGTATGAATGTCACAGCTTTCTTTAAATCGAAGTGAAAGACACTCTATTAGCTATAGACAGGAAAGATTTTTTCAGTTTGTTAGTATTTAAGCGCTTAATCAGCTGCTTGCACTGTATGCTTCTCAGGAAGCTGAGAATGTTTCTGAGTGTATTATGGTCTGCTGGGATAATAATATAGTATAGTGTAAAGCTCATAGGCCTTGTTGTTGAGCAGGGGTATGTGCTTTACAAATGCTATTTATTATTAGTTTAGTACCTTTCAGTCCATACGGAGGGAAAACCCTGCGTTCTGTAAGGATGGATAGAGTGAACGGTTCACGGAACATCAGCTCACGAACCACTCCATCCCCTCCATGGTACTGACCATCTCCCCCTGTGCCCTCGTTGAGCTTGAAACATTGTAAAACCACTGGGTACCTGTGAGATGAAGAAGAATGCTTTGGGTCAAATGGACAGAGAAAACAAAAAGAACAAAATGAAAGTGTATTGGGAGAACTTGATAATGATACACAGTGTAGTATGCTTTCTACGATCAACGAAATGAGACTCAAACACTTCGGTCAAGCAAACAGAAACAACAAAAAAACCCCCACACAAACCTGAAGACAACAGTAGGGCAGGGCAAAATAGAGGCAGAGAGAAATACAGGAAGGGTTCCTACATCATACATTCATATAGAACATATAAGATAAGATAAAAAGATAAGATAAGATAATAATAATAATATAAGACACCTTTATTGTCCAGATCCACTGGTTTTTGGTGTTTCGCAATGTACAACTTTTTTTGTTATTATTTTCCTCCACACTGAAGTTTTGCATTTCAAATGTGAACACAACATTTGGAAGTCAAAAGAAATTCGTCTGATATTAATGTTAGATAAATCCACAGAATAGTTTTGCTCTATATAGCGTGTAAAAAAACAGCTCATTTGAGCTATGTCCCCATTTTTGTAGCATGACCACTAGAAATCCCAACAATAGCGCCATATTGCAAACCACAGTAGTGTTTTATCATGATAGCAACACAAATTTTGCTATCTGGGCTTAGTACCTTTATACGGCTTGCTTGCAATATGAGCACAGAATATCATGCACAAGAGAAAAAAAAAGACTCGCTAACTCTGAATTACCTGACATTTTTGGCTGTTTTTAGTTACCAAACCCATGAGGTCAGAAACTAAATACTCTTTCTGCTCTATTAAAATTGTAAGAATATTCAAGACATTTAAAAAATTGCATTCCTAACAGTTTGAAGTGTTGTGAAATGAAAAAATGTTGGCGTCAAATTTCTCAAAACTAGGTACAGAGTAGATCAGAACTTTGTAGTTCTGAGGAGTGGACTGTCTACCTTTTCTCCAGGATTTCAGGGTCTGTGATCCTTGTGTTGGTCATGTGGGTATGCACGCCACTCCGTCCGTGCCAGCTGGGACCCTGAGAAATATTAAACGTGAGGCATCTAGGTAAAATCAGGCGCTTGTCAAAATAATGAAACTGAAGGAATATATACACAGCGGCAATAGAAACTTTCCACTTGGAGAAAAGCCTGTATTGTGCTGATTATTGAACACATAAAAACCAAACATTGACACAGAGATATTTCAAAATGTGTCAAGAAGTGTGTCACCTTTTATTTCTTGATCATGTCTCATGGGGTGGCACGGTGTTAAGAACAAACTGGTAACCCTTCATTTAAAGAATTTGCGTCTGTAACGGGCATTGTTGTTTCTTGCAAAGACACAAACTTGGCATGTTCTGCACATTGGTCTGACATGCAGAGAAGGTCGATCTCAAAGATGCAAGAGCAGTATCTGTCAGTCTTCTTGGGCAGTATTGACTTGTGGTCTGCCTGGTCTGGGTCTGTTATGTGTAACTCCAGTGACTTGGAACCTTTTTTTCAGGATATTGAAGGCAGGATGGGAGCAATGAAGCATCTGCGCTACTCTACCGGCCGATAGTACAGCTTGGGGTATTCAAAATGCCCAACAGCGTTCTAGGGGGCTTAACCTTGGCATCTTGTAAAACAATTTAAGTCGACAAAAACCAGCTGAAATGTGTAAGTATTTTGTTTTTTTCGGTTCTAAAATTGCTTATGTAATGATCTAAACACAATTTAGACGATTTCATAATTTCGACTGAACTTAAATAACAAAACGTGTTAATTTGCATGTGGTCCCCTGATCACAAGGTTAAATATTTGTTCACGAAAAAGATCAGCATGGAGTTATCGTTCAGTACGTGGTGAGTGACGTGCAAGATTTCGCACACTAACTCACGTGAACAAGGGAACAGTTACAAAAAACAAAGTGGAAAGTTTCTATTGCTGCAGGGTATAGAAGATATTGACAAATATATATATATATATCAAATTTTACCAATATTCAACGGTTCTCTAAATAAACACACACATTTCCCAGCAAACACGAAATCACCCCAAAGCTTTGAGTACACATGCACTTACTGCTCCAGCGCCACCTGCCACCGTCTCGTAGTAACCGACTTTCTCATTGCCGAAGGTAATGTTGTTCATGCAACCCTGAAGGATTGAGAAAATAGGACAGCATGTTGAGACCTTCATATAAATAAACAAGGAAAATTCACATTCACATACTACTACTACTACTACTTGAGCACTACTACTAATAATGACAGCGTGTCTGTCAATGCCTGACAAAGACCAATACATTTGTAGAGGAGAATATTTCTCCAGTGTAATAGAAGAATTAGAAGAATAAAAGGTTACGATGACTTGTGGCTTCTGCTGTGGCCAATGACACCAATTCTGGTAGAGAAAAGTTTGCTACATTTAGAACATTAAAAAGCTCCACTTCCCCATTCACATACATCCCCCCAAAATGACACACACTAATGATTTAGCGTCCATATTGTTTTGTAAAAAGGATTCATAGGTGAGAAAGATGAAGACTGGTAGTTGTTTCCTACACATCACATAATTAGCCAGAGACAGAAAAGTAGGTACAATTGAACCTGCTCTAACAGCTATCTGTATATACGACAGCCATCTGTACAAATGGCCACTTCCCATTTCCACACAAATTAACATACATAGAGACACACACATGAAAACAGGGACATGGGATTACAAGCAGAGACATGGGATAACCCACAGACACATACAAGAACACACACAGGAACGCCCATACACAAACAAAAACACACAAGAACACAAACCCACACAAACACATACAGGACCACATACACACAAACAAACAAACACACACAGGAACATACACACACAGGAACACACACACACACAGGAACACAAAAATACACATCGGCGCACACATGCACACACACACAAACCAACACATATAGCAGTTAACACACACGAACACACACAAACAAACACACAAAGGCAACTCTGACAACCTACTTGCGAGGCGGCACACACGCCAAAAGCCCTCAGAATGACGTCCACGATCCTCTGTGAGGTCAGCACATTCCCACCCACAACAGCTGCTTCTTCCGACGGGTCAATGATGCTGCCAGGGGACATCACGATTCGGATTGGCTTCAGACATCCCTGTCACCATACCGCAAGACAACAGATATAAATTATGGAGGGTCAAACTTTCACAGTCCTGTATCTTAACCCCTTTAATGCCGCAGGTAAATAAACCCCTGTGCTGGGGGAAATCCATGAACCAAGGCTGCTGTGGGGTGACCCTACTCTACCTCCTATAACTTTTCTATTTATGAATATTTCTTCATGAATTTCTGCATGTACATTCTACATTAAACAACATTTCTATAGATATGATTTTATGTCCACTTGAAAACACATTTCTCTGTGGATCATTACTGAGAACCATTGACCAAAGCCACAAAAAATGCAAATTAAAATTTGCAGCTTCCGATTTCAAGAACATTCAAGCTTTGGAAATCTCCAAAATTTTGTGGCTTTTTTCTCATTTATTTTTACCTCAGACACCAGACGAACTCTACCTTCTTTCATCGCAAATATCTCTACTTCTATTCAAGATATATTGGTACTATTTTCATCAAAAGAAAGACAAATGAATCAACTTTAAGATGACACCACTAATAACTCCAAAGCAAAAAAAAAAAGACTAGCGCCTGATTCCACTGTGTCGACACAAACATTTGTCCCATTTTGTTGTGAAACTGCACAAGTGTCTGACCTGGTTGAGGGGCACGTCGTGGCCCACCATGCACCTCATGCAGTAGATGATGGCCGACAGTGTGATGGCGCGAGGGGCGTTGGTGTTGCCGTGAACCTGGAAGCCCGTCCCGGAGAAGTCAAATACAGCTGTGCCCTGAAACAACCAGGATTAAAGTCAAAGGACATGATGTGTTAATACTGACAGCCTTTTGGCAGAGACTTGTTGTTGTGGTTATTGATCCAAAAACAGCTGGGCTCTCGCCCTTCTGTCCACCAATGCCATGTAATGATAAGTGCAGGTTTGCTGCAGTTGCTGTAACTGTAATGTTCCGTAGAGTGTGTTGTCTACGTTAGGTCTCGAAGGGAGAAGTGTAGCTCTGATGTCATTTAGGGCTGTACAGTGGAAAAGGGGATGATCTACAGTCTCATGCATAGTCACACAACAGACACAATAGGGGAAATTTTGGTTTTATTCTGTTCAAGTGAAAGTTGAGCAGTATAATGTTCTGTTCGAAGGAGGAAGATCGTGGTCTGTTTCTTTCTCTGTAGGTAGTTGATATCGTCATTTTGTTTTGTTTTGTTAGGATCAGATGTTTGAAAACTGCTCTGCCTGTCTTTCTCAAGGCACATCTGCTCATCCAATCTTGTTTTTTGTTGGTTTTAATGATTTGTTTTGCAGTGTTGTATGACTTTGGAATTTTGGGTTGTTCCTGTCTAGATCCCCTTTTGGCGGGTGTGTCTGCTCTGTCATTTTCAGGAATGTTTGAGTGTCTGGGAATCCACTGCATCACCAGGTTGACGCCACAGGATGTTATCAGGTGAAGGGAGCCAAATATGTGTCAAGTCTTGGTTTAAATGATGGTAATTTTTTAACGTTTGCAAGACTGATAGTGAGTTAGTGAAAATCACAATACTCTGCATTTTGTTTGGATGAAAGTAAAAAACTGTGTGGAGATGGTAAAGTGCTGTTTCAATTGCTACCATTTCTGCATCATAGTTGTTGCATTTTTATCCACAGGCTGCAGAGATCTCATGGGATCTTTCATCTGGGTGGCTTCTCTTTTGGCAAAGATAAAAATGCAGTATCTGTACCTCACTTTTCGGCTTTGTGCTTGACTACAAAGGTTACTACTGAAGCCGATGAGGCTTTAGTTTTAGTTTTAGTAAGAGTTTTACAGCCCTTGCAACACAATAAGGTCATGTAAGTGCTGAAGAATAGATTATCTTTTACAAGAGAGTAAAACACACAAAAAGAAAGAGGAGAGATAAGGATGATATATGATTGATAGGAAAGAAGGAGCAAACTACACCAGAGCACCTGCCAAGCACCCACTGATGAGGCTTTAATTAGCCTCAATTATATCTGGTGACTGGCAACCTCCTCTTAAAAGAAAAAGTACTGACATTTGACTGTCCTGTAAAGCATTAGAATCGGTTAGTTTGAGGTTTGAGTAAGAGTGTTAAGACACTTGCAGCACAAATAGGTCCCAAAAGAGCTGAAGATTAGGGGTGTTACTAGAGAGTAACATACAAAGAAAAGAAGGAGGATGGATAATGACAATCATAGATAGATTTATGTTTGATAGGAAAGAAGGAGCAAACCGCTTACCACCAACTTAAGATATAAGTGAAAAGAGACAACACGTGTACAAAAATGAGTCTCTGCGAACATAATATAAGGATAAAGCATGAGGCAAAAATAGTTGGTGGTGGGTAACCATTAGGCACGGCGCACCGGCAGTGGAATTTTAATTGCCGCGGGGGGTTCCCCGCCGGGTGCCTTATCACGTCGGGGTCACGGGGGTCAGCTCCCTGTCGTCGCTCTGTCTGGGCCGACCTAATTTTTGGTACTTTTCAAAGTACAATTTAAGGTGTATCCTTGTATTTATGGTAATTCTCATTCAGTGCACCCAAAGCACGCATTTCTGCTCTTGAGACTCAAAAAAGAACGGACGTTGTAACTTGTCTGGTTATTTCGTTAGACGCGCTGGAGTCGGCAATGCTAAATTGTAATTTTTTTTTGACTGGCGTGAATGAAAAAAAAAAAAATTTTTTAAAGGCATCGTCAAAATCTGTCGAACTTTTGGAACATGAACGACATAACATTGGTGCAGATACTCAGAAAAGATGGTATCTGCACATATCATAGAAGGCTGTAATTTTACAATTTTATCCATCGGGCACACAATTCGCTATGAAGTAATTCCTCCAAATACAACTTTATGTGTCTAATATAATCGTGAATATTCGCATATTTTCTCGAAAGTTTATAAAAGTTACCATGAAGTTTCTCAATGAAAAGTACAAATCGATTTTAGTGCTACAATACATCTTCAACGTAGATCTAATACACGAACAGTATCTGTTACACTCCAGAAATTCCTTACTTTTCTTAAAACGCTAAGTCTAAATTTTGTAAGTTGACTGAATAATAGGGATGACTTCTCGTAATTGGGTTATAAGAATAATTTCTAGCCTTCCAGGGACACTGAATCAGCACCAGACTTTTCCAGCTTTTTTTCCCGTTTCTATGACCATTTGCAATAACTGACAATGTGACTGATTTCTTTACATTCATAATTGTGTCCGCGCATATTTCCTACACAAAAACTAAGAATGAATGTTTTAGCTGTCATTATTTTTATTTCATACAAGAAGTTTATCTCTGCCCATGTATTTACGCGGTTTTGTAGTTTTTTTAATCGCTTATATTATATCTTTTTAGTTGTATGCAGGCTGCCACAGACACAGCATGATTCATGAACAACCACAGAGTAACTTTCTCTTGTTTAATAGTAAAATAAGAGCTAACGCTGATCGTCTTTAGTTAAAAAATGCAGATGTGCATCTTTCTTCTCTTATAACTTGACTATTACTACAGATTTAAGATTTCTCATGGAAAAAGACATGATGTTCGTAGTCAGTTTAACACATATTTTGGAGAGATCTGTCGAGCCTTTTTTAAATTAACAATCATTTATTCATAAGTTTGTAACTAAAATAGGACAAATTGAGTACTCTACAAACACTTGTCTAGAACAAAAACTAAGGCACAGAAACTAACCATTCTAACGCAGAATAAATCTCAAGACATTGAGCTTTTAGTACATCCGCGTAATGGTTTGCTATGTGGGATGGGGAAGAAGTTATATCGTTTTAAACATAGTCAAAAATGCGAACTTCCTGACCGAAACCGGCAAAGTCGCTTCAGGGCTCATTAACCCCGTGACCCCGAGCCGGGGAGCTCCGGCGGGCTGCTGAGTCACGCGAACTAAAAGTAACAGAATTGGGCGAAAAGTCATGCCGTGTAGGGCGACAGAGAAAAGAAGACAAGGAAAATGAACATTGGACAGAAAGGATTATCTATATAATATATAATTCATTTTGCCACTTTGAACAAAATAGAAAGGGAAAGTTTGTAAAAAATTACATCTGACCTCAACTTCATCAATTGTGATGCGCAGGCAGATTTTAGTTCCTTCATCCATGAAGTCCTCAGCGTACAGTTCTGTTTTCCCTGTTGTTGCTTTCGTTTTGGATGCAATCTCACGCAGCATGTCCTTCACTGCCACTTCAGCATTTTCCTAAGAAATAAAACAAAAAGTTGTCTCCATATATTTCAATGTATGGACTAAACAAGAGAGACCCTTATGACAATTTGAAGGGGAGAGAGCAGAAAACAGGGATCTTTCATTTCAAGACAAAGTTTACAAAGCAAGTGTTTCTTTGGTTTAGTTTAGAAAAGGTTTTATGGCACTTGCAACACAATAAGGTCATAAAAATGCTGAAGCTTAGAGGTGTTATTAACTAGAGAATAGCATACAAAGAAAAGGAGGAGGGATAATGATGATAAATGTTTAGTTATTTTAGTAAGAGTTTCACTGCACTTTCCAACACAATAAAGTCATATTATGATTTAACATAAGAGCCGAAGATTAGAGGTATTACAAGAGAGTAACAAACACAAAATAGAAGAAGGGAAGATAAAGACGACAGGTGTTTGATAGGACAGAAGGCCCAAACCACAAGAGAACATCTGCCAACCACCCACTGATAGATGTTTGACAAGAAAAAGGAAGCAAATACACCAGAGAACCTGTCAGCCACCCACAGTATGGGCTTCAAATTTTGATGTAAATTGTAAGAAACTGCAACACCTTGATACACTTTGCTTGACCAAACTTCAGTTGTGAGACTTCTCTTTTGCGCAAAACTTCAAGAACTGAGAGAAGCACAAGTGCCCAGTCTTACCTGGATGTACTTCATGTAAGCTTGCACCACATTGAGACCATACTCATCTATCAGATCGGATATCAGTTGAATGCCCTGTTGAATTCATGAAAACAGTACCAATACCAATTAAGGAAGTGCAGGATACACATGGCCCAATGGCGTGAAACATGGACAGCTTCTTTAACAATACAAGAGAAGTTGTACAGGCCAACATAGGAACTTAGCAGGATAGCCCAGTGTAGGATAGAAATCGGACTTTAAGTGCGATTCAAGAAGAGGAGGTGGAGGAGGAGGATAGAGAAGAAGGAGGAGGAGGAGGAGGAAGAGGAGGAGGAGAAGAAAAAGAAGTAAGAAGAAAAAGAAGAAGAAGAAGTAGAAGAAGAAGAAGAAGAAGAAGAAAAAGAAGAAGAAAAAGAAGAAGAAGAAGAAGAAGAAGAAGAAGAAGAAGAAGAAGAAGAAGAAGAAGAAGAAGAAGAAGAAAAAGAAGAAGAAGAAAAGAAAAGAAGAACAGGGAGAAGGTGGAGAAGAAGAAGAACCAACTATTAAACAATTACAGAATAGAGAAGTCTGTGTTAAAAGACATGACAAATTGTAAACACATAAAGTTATGATGATACACATTTTAAGAAATAGAATAGAATTGGGAACAAATCTTTCATTATATTCAATAATAAATGATTATGAACATTCCAGTCTTTTCCTTCCTTAATGTATCATATTATTATTTCCAGCTACTTATAATTTTTGTCATTGTCCTATCAGAGATGGCAACTTTTTTTTTTTAAATCGCATGGAAATATGCACAGGAAAGGAGGGGGGGGGGGGGGGGGACTCACAATTTATGAATCATTTTGTGTACCGGTAATACTAATAATAGTACTCATTCATCTCGAATCTAGACTGTTTCTACATAAGTGTAACAACTTCTTAAAGGATGGCCTTGAATCATTTTTAAAAATCCGGATTTCTGGATGAATCTTTATGTTTCGCTCCTTTGACTTATATACATGGCAAAAGTCAGCAACATTGAAACAAACACAAAATGTCCATCTGCTAATAGTAGTAATAGTATTGGTAGCTCAGGTTGGTCCTTACGTGCTGATTCAAAGCAGCGCCCACCTCCAAAATGAGGCAAATTATGTCAATGAAGAAATGTAGATAAAAAACATATTCAATACTTTGTTCTTTTTTTTTCTTTAAATTTCGATGACAGCAGAAAGGGAGAGCTGACAACCAAACTGACGGTTCAATTCAAGAAACCTGTGAGCCACATTTTTCAAAAATCAACTTCTTTTTGCTTTCCTGTGGCCACAGATCTTTCTCCATCACATATCTTTTCAATGTTAGGACAGAGTACGATCTTCACATCGAAACGTGCTATCCTCACATCGAAAAGATAAGTGATGAAGAAGAATCTGTCGTCACGGAAAAGCAAAAAAAACCCCAAAGTTTAAAAATAGTAGCATATGGGTTTCTAGAATGGAACCGTCAAAATGTACCTTGTGATTGGCTGCCACCTGAGCCTTGAGGTCACTGAGGTTGTCGTGGAGGTTTCTGGAGCTGCTGCTTCCCGGGTACTTTGCCGGGTCGTTGAACGCTTCCGTCACCTCTGGACATGCACACACACATACACAGAAGTAGAAAAACCTGACAGTTTTATACTCATGGTCTTTGAATGTAAACACACGACTACAAAACAGCAATTTCTACAGGAGAGAATATTAGGTGCATGTAATTATTTTATACGAGCACTTTCTAATGGAGAGTGTTTTGGCAGTTTCTCATGGAGAGAATGTTTTGTGCTTGTAACTATACAATTGTCAGAGGAAGGTCAAGAATAATTACTTTAAAACTTGAACGGATGGTTGTCTGGGGTCAAAAGAAAATTATTGAGAAATTGGTCGCCAAATTTGGGTGACTTTCAAAGCTTGAGAGTTTTTGGAAACTGCAAATTTACATTTTTTGTGCCTTTGATCAACCTAAGTCAGTAAAATCCACGCAGTAATGTGTTTTTAAATAGACTTAAAAAGTGTCAAGCCAAAAATAAAAATTTGAGTTTAATACGGAGCCATGCCTTTTTCCTTAAAGTCTCCAGCTTCCACCAGTTTGAAGGATTTGAAGACAGCACCCTCCTGGAAGATAGATGTAGAGTGCGGTGGCATGGAGCCGGGAGTTATCCCCCCTATGTCTGCATGGTGTCCGCGACTTGCCACAAAGAACACAGGCTTCGGTTGGCTCTTGTGAAAAACCTGCAGTAAATGTTATAGAACGACAGACGACTATTTAAGATAATAGTGCTAACAAATGTTTCGAATAAAACTTTTAAAACTGTTCAAAGAGTAGATAGAGAGAGAATGAGAGAGACAGAGAGAGTGAGTGAGAGAGAGAGAGACAGAAAGACAGAGAGGGAGACACAGAGAGAGAAACAAAGAGAGAGAGACACAGACAGACAGACAGACAGACAGACAGACAGACAGACAGACAGAGAGAATGGCAGACAAACGGACAAATAAAAAAAACAGTAGACATCATACTCAAAGAAAGTATAGACATGAAATGGAACTCAAACTGCAACAAGGAAACTAACACAAATTGTATGTTGCAGAATAGGATTGGTTTGAGCCAGGAGTGGGGGATGAGGGTGGGTTGGGGTGGGGTGTAGCAAGTGAAAGGAAGACAGACAGAACAACAAATAAAGAAAAAAATATAATAATACTAATACTTAGCATCACAATGAAAATAAAGACATAAGTGTCCCGACGCGGTGGAATCAGGCGCTCATCAATTTTGGGGACTATGGAGTTATTGGTATTGTCATAAAGCCTGTCCATTTGCCTTGCTTGTGATGAAAAAAATATCAATTTATTTCGAATACAAGTCAAGATATTGGTGATTGAAGGAGGTGGGGATCGCCTGGTTTCAGATGTAAAATTAGCTAGAAAAAGGCCACTAAAATTGAGTTATTTCCTTAGTTTGAGAGTCTGTGGAATCTGAAAATTTACATGTTTTATGCCTTTAATCAATATTTTTCCGAAAAATATACACCGAAATGTTTTTTTTAATGGGCAAGAAAGGCGTTGAGCCAAAAAAACAAAAAAATGTAATAAAAATTCCCAAACCAGCGGAAAAATACAAGTTTCTTGACTTTCATTATTTTGACGAGCGCCTGATTTCACCATGCTGCCTCACATATACGACTCACTGGTGTGATGACTGTTAGGTCGGGCAAATGGCTTCCACCTGCCTGTGGGTGGTTACTCAGCACCACGTCTCCATCATGAAAATCTGCGCCAAGAGTCTTCATCTGAAAACAGGCAATAGCACATCATTGGGGGTTTTTTTTTGGTCCTTGAATGGCCTTCTCACTCTGGTCAAGAAACACAAACTACAAAGGTATGGACACATCACCCATTCATGCTGCTTGCCAAGATGATCCTGCAAGGCAGCATCCAGGGAAAAAGGAGCAGAGGCAGACCAAAGAAGAGTTGGGAGGACAACATCAAGCAATGGACAGGCCTGGAACTCAAAGACACGCTCAGAAAAGCTGAAGACGGGAAGGAGTGGAGGAAGCTGGAGACCAAATCTTCAAAAGCGCCCCAACCGACATCCAGTCTATGGGGCAGGTGATGGTGAAGGTGGTGTATGCCTCATCCTATCAAAATGGTTCTATCTTAATTACTTAGACATTGTGCGTGTGATGTGTTAGCTAAACTCAACATGAGTCGCTAACCCAGAATTACAACGTTCTATCTGCTCAGTACCTAGTTTTGAGAAATCTGAAGCAAAGAATTTTTAGTTTCACATGTCAAGCTTGTTCGACTACAATTCTTTGAATATCTTGATAATGACTCTGAATATTCTTATGATTCTGATAGAGCAGATATAACAATTGGTTTCTGACCTCCTGGTCTTAGTAACTCAAAAAGACCAAAAATAATAAATAGAACCTTGTCATTCTAAGGTAGCCAAGTACCATAACGAAGGTACAATGTTTTTAAGAAAAATAAAAGAGTATCTTTCTCTCTCCTCAAAGTTTTACCTTCTGAGCTTAAAACATTTTATTTCTAACAGCTTGCTGATAATATGACATACCATTGAAGTCCCAATTTTACCTATAAAGAGAAAGACAGCAATCTACATCACTATTACATTTGCTGGCTCTACAATCTGGAACACCCTCCCACAAAACAATTAGAGGAATAGAAAATACTGAGTCTTTTAAAAACCCATTTGAAACACAACTTTTTAGACTATGAATATTGTCAGTCCTTTTCAGTTGAGTAAATGTACTTTTTTTTTTCTTTAAATAAAAAAAAGGGTGAGCATGTGTCCAAGACTGAACATGTATGCGCATGTATTTGCATGCGTGCATGGGTGCCAGCGTGCGTGTGTATCATCTACTTCACATAATTGTACAGTGCTCATACCTTAAGTATGAACAGAAAACAGCCCTCTATAAATGCTATACCTAATTCTTCCATCAGGAAGTTTAAGAAGTGTACCTGGTACTGCACTGTTTCTTGCATGGCTCCCAAGTGGACCGGAATGTGTGGAGCATTGGCAACGAGTCCCCCGTCAGGACCAAACATTGCACAGCTGAAGTCGAGACGTTCCTAGACAGGAAAAGAATAATAATAATAAATAGCATTTATGCTGCACATTACCATTTAAAAAAAAATGTTCAAAGCGCATTATTTCATGAAATAAGATAGGATTAGCGCTTCTTTAGGTGGGGCTAAGAGGTTCAATGGAGAAAATGTGGCCAGGAGGTACAGTGCTTGGCTCTCATGCCAATAGCATCAGGTTTGAAAAAGGTCTGTGCTAGCATGTCGTTCTATAAAAGCCAGATCTGACAATCATGATTTTGGAGCGAAAATGTTTTTTTTTTCACCAATCGAAAGCGCGTATCATAGGCTTCATTTTAGTATAGTTTTCATTGAGTTCCCCACCTTAAAATCGCAATAAAAAGCAAATAACTGTTTTATCTTTCATAGCTGTCTGCTTCCAAATTAGCTCATCTTGAGATGTGCGGAATGGATTTCAATACTGTTACAACTTGGATGACGCAACAAAAATTATTACGGAACCAACAGTAAAGCCATGAATTCCTAAATCGCACATCATATGATACACTTTTAGGGCTTGATCGTTTCCGGTGTGTTGATCATTCATACATACCTACATTAATCAGTTTTTTGTTCCTCCTGAAAAATTCTTTAAAACCTTGATACGTGGAACTGACTCTTATAGGACGATGTCCAATTTTCTCTTCTTAATCTACCTTTTAAATTCTCTTCTTCCTCTTCTTCATTTAATCATCTTTCTTTCTCAGTTTGTAAAAAAAAATATTTTAAAAAATCCTCTCTTGCTCACTCACTGACTCAATCTCCTTCTTCCTCCACACACCTGACATTAAGTAAGAACGAGCACCTAATCTGCTCAGACAGATAAAGATGAACAAATTTCAGAGGTCCTGTGTGCATGTTACACATGTTAAAGATACCTTGGTGGTTGAAAATCATAGAAGAGCAGGCCGTTAGGCCACCATCCAGGCAAAATTTATAATTGAAAAGAATCCTTAATATAAAAAAATATATCTTTCTATCTGCCCGTAAAATAGTAAGACACAACCTTACACCTTCTTTAATTTCAAACATACTGACGATGTCTCTCTTTTGGAGAATGTAAATGAAGATCTTACGGTAAGTAACCCCCTGAGTAACCACATGGATTTGAACAAGAAGAAGCTCTACTTTATCCAGTATTTTGGAACTTAAACAAAATCATCTGACAGGCACTCTGACACCCTATCCATCACTAAACCTAGAACATATACATTTCATTTCCTAGATAAGTGGCATGTTCCTTACAAGCTCCTGATTAAGTCACATCAATGTGCAGGATATAGCGGAGATGTAATTAGCCTAGAAATGAAAGAAACACCCAGAAAAGAAATGTAATAAAAACATGGCACAGGTAGACTCACCTTTATGTTGGTTGAAATAGATGTTCTCTGCAGCACCCTAGCGCAAAAGACGACGGAGAAACTCAAAGAGTTACAAAGATCAAACATCGTTCTTGTATCTATTTTCTTTTAGAACCAAGAATAATATCTCAAAACTGACAACACTGAGGTTTCATTTGACGAGAAAAAAAAGACAAGAGTCAATGCTTGAGATTCGTACACATGGCTTAATCGTCTGATTTTGAGCAAGTTCAACCAACTGAGCAAGTTCAACCGTTTTATTGTTTTATTCGGTTCCTTTGAATTAATTTTGAATTAATCATTTTTCAGTTTTTGGTTATTTGAGTTTTTGGTTATTTGCCCCCAAAATACTCATTGAAAAACAAAAACAAATTAACTATCTGGCAAAAAAAGCAAACCCAAAACAAAACGAAACAAAAAAACAACCAAGGCTTTTGTGTGAATAGAATCATCCTGGTAGTCTGTCAAGTACACTGGCAATGGCTTTTCTCTATATATTGGAACGTACAAATAACACACCTGCCCATTTGTTCAGCCGTGCTCATGAACCTGTGAGAGAAGATAGACAGCTGGATTGCATCCAGGTCGGTGCCGATGACTTTCTTGTTCTGACTGGCAACCTGACGGGAGAGAAAGAAATGGCTGGCATAGTGCATACAGTGTTCAGTCATTTTTAAGGCATAGAACATACAGCCATTTTAGGGACAGTCATTTTTAAAGCATAGATGTTGTCGTTTTTAGGGCACAGAATGTACAGTCATTTCCAGAGCATAAAACGTACAGTCATTTTTAGGGCATAAAAAGTACAGTAATTTTTTAGGCATATAATGTTCAGTCATTTTACCGGTATCTGTGGTGTAGTGGTTAGGCACTTTGCTGTCACATGCAGGAGAACCAAGTTTGATTCCCAAGTGGGGATAAATTTTTATAACATATATCAGTCTCTCAGTAGACGTGTTAATTTTCTTTCAACCCACGTTGGCCCCGACAGGAAGGGCCGGAAGCCCGTCATTTAAATGATCTAAATTGTGTTGATAAGGGCGTTAAAAAAAACCCCTACTGCTTTTGCTTTTTTGTGGCAGAAAGTTTAGTTGAAAATAAGCATATGTGTTCAGCGTGTGTGAAATTAGGAGCTCGTCAAAATAATGAAATAGAGGAAACTCATTTTTCTGTCTGTTTGGCAATTTTTAGCAAATTTTTGTTTTTCGACTCCAACACCTTTAAGGTCAATGTAAAACCACATTTCAGTGTGGATGTTACTTTAAAATTTTAATTTAAGACACAAGGAATGTAAATGAGCAGTTTCTAATGACTCTCAAGCTTTCGAAGTCGCCATACTTTGGCAGCCATTTTCTCGTTAATTTTACCTCTGAAATTAGGCGATCCCCACCTCTTTCAATTGCAAATTTCTCAACTTCTATTCATGAAAGATGAGTATTTTTTTCACTGAAAGCAAGACAAGTGAGCAAGCTTTACAATTATACCAATAACTCCACATGTCCAAAAAGTGACGAACGCCTGATTCCCCCACATCCTGACACATGTTACAACTTTCATAAAAAAAAAAAAATTGGTTTCAATCTACATACAAGATTGTACTCTAACCAAAACACTCAGTCTTGTTTTATGGGCTCAGAATGTTTGAATAGCTTGCTGAAGATATACAATTTATTTTTTCAACAGCTTTCAAAAAGAAGGTGTCTGGATTGGTCACACTTCACCAACCTTGATGCGGATGTCTCCTAGAGGAGTGATCTCAGCCTGGCACTCCGGCTCTACCAGGATGGTGCTGGGGAGCAAGAGGGAAAAGTTCTAAATTCATAATCATTTCTTTCTCATAGGCAAAATCCCACCCCCAAGTTGTCTGTGGAGTAGCAGATAAGCTATTCACCACAGCCCACAGAAGATCAGAGTTTGATGCCTGTGTGGGGAGAATTTTTAATCAAGTGTCTCAGTCTTTCAGTTGGGATGCAGTATCCCTCTCAGCCCGGGTTGGCCCTAACAGGCAGGATTAAAGCCCGTGTCCTAAATTGTGACAAGGCGGGTGATAAAGACGGAAATAAATTTAAAAAACACACCAAAAAAAAATAAAAAATTATAGACAATTTGAGAAGCCTTAAACTTAAGTCACCACTATAGACTTAAAGCATCTCCATTTGAGATTTTAGTTTGACTTACTTTAGTTTCTAATTAACTGAAAATGTTTCACAAAACTGAAAAATGTTTTTAGACTTCAATTGAAAACTTTGAGAAAATGAGAAAAAACAAAACAACAAACACTCACTAGTTTGTAGATTGTGGTGCCATGAAAAAGTGTGTGGCCTCAAATAGTTACCTGTTTTTGTCAATGATGAGGACTGGCCCATCCATTTTGTGACCAGCTGACAAATTCTCGAGTCGGAACACCGCAGTCTCCAAACAGCCCTCCTCAAAGTGGCACTTCACCGTCTACAGACAGGGAAACAACAACAGGTTTGAAAAACTTTTCTTCAAAACCAAGTCATGGAAACTAAAGTAAAATAATAATAACAATAATAATTTTAATACTAATACAGTATAACACGGATAGCTCAAATTAGTCGGGACCCGCCTTGGTTGTTCGAGGGATATCTTACAAAGACAAAAAAGAAGAAAAAATGGGACCGTAGGCACAGTTCGACAAATGCATGATTTCGAGTCTTCTGGGTTCGACCTATCCGTGTGTTACTGTATTTATAATTATAGTTCCGAATGTGAATTTCGACAAATATTTCTTGAGCACATGCTACATATACCACAGATCAAGAAATGGAATTTACTTACTTTTAAAATTCTTTTTTAAATTTGGGGCATCGTACATCTGATCAGCTGACCAATATCATATATTTGCAATTGAAGGAGGTGGGAGTTGCCTGGTGTCAGAGGTAAAATTAGCGAGAAAATAGCTGCCAAAGTTTGGTGACTTCCAAAGCTTGTGAGTCTTGAAAACTGCAAATCAACTTTTTTTTAGCCATTGACCAACATTTTTCAGTAAATTCACACAGAAACGTGTTCTTAACTGGACACAGAAGGTGTTGAACCAAAAAAAGAAAATTTAAAAAAATTGCCAGACAGCGAGAAAAATGTAGGTTTCCTTGAATACATTATTTCGACGAGTGCCTGATTTCACCATGCTGTCTCACATTTCATTTGCGCAAGGATAGAGCAATCACCTTTTCTTTGACAGGGGGTCCAGCCGCTTTGGGAATCTCTTTGGCCGAAGCAGCTTGTGACTTTCCCACGCCTCTCACACGGACATCGTCCACATAAATGTCTCTGCCCTTCAGCGTGAATCCAAACTCTGTTTTGTACCTGTAAAAAAATAAAACGAACCTTGCTTAAATACATGTTTTATACAATCAAAATTACTGCACGTTACAAATAAATGTATTCTAAGTTAAATGTCAACCCAAGTTATGAGAATAGTTACCCCTCCCCCTCTCAAAAGATTAATTTAAAATCTTACAGCGCTTTCTTTTTTTTGGAAACGTGTGTCAAGAAGTGGTGGAATCTGGTGCTCAACTATGTTTTGGGCATATGGGGTTATTTGTATCATCTTAAAGCTTGTTCAATTGTCTGGGTTTTGATGAAAAAAATAGGGGGTATCAAGGGCTGGTGAAGGACCTCACTTAAAAGGTGAGAAACACCCAAACATCTCATATAGCTTCTCCCAGTCTAGCCAACCGCACCTACCCGAGGTGATCCCTGTTTGCACTGACGTGGCTCTGGTGAATGGCGAATCGCTGGCACCAACAAACCAACCCCCCCTTCGCCTGGAGGGGTAAAAACAACAGACTGGGAGTAGGTGTGGCTCCTCAAGGTGCGGAGGGCAGAACCCACCGGCGCATGGTAGATGCTATGCCCCTCACCAACACACTCTCACTCTCCCTTGAGTGAGTGTCCTCCTCTGTCACCCTCACCTACTTCTTCTACACACTCCCTATGGTTGGCTTGTGATCTACCTCCGGCCGAGTGCATCTCTATTGATTGTTCTGGGCCTTACAAGGATGAACACACCACTGGGCGGGATAGGCCTCCGGGACATGGCATGCCTAAACACGGGCGTCTACGTATTGACACAAAGGATCCAGGACGTGACAAGCCGCTTGTCTGTGAAATTTTGGCTCAACAACGCTGTCAGGGTCAGACCGCATCAAACCCTCCACAATTTGCTGGGAGACAGCAGTGGCAGGGAATGAACGACAGTGGATCGTACCTCGACTACATGTAAAATGGAAGTCAGTCCCTGTTCAGTGCGTTGCCCCACTTTTGAGAGAGAGAGAACTTGCAGCTGTGGAATCTCAATGCCAGATGTATTGGACTGCTGGTAGACCACAGACCTGGGTGGGAAGAAAAGCCACAGGCTCCCCAGCGAACATGGCAAAGAAAAATAATATAAATTCATCCGAGCTTGGACGACGCCTCGTTTATCAAGGCCCGCATGCAGTGTCCACCCAGGCTGCTGGTGAAAAGTTAGCTACAGGGAAAACAGAACAGTTTAGACTACTCCCGGTCAATGTTTGCAGCCTCGCAAACAAAAAAATAGAAATCTCTCACCTTTTGGATTCAAGGGAAATTCACATTGCCCTACTACAAGAAACTATTCACCGTAACACAGACCCCTATATCCCAGGTTACACCCATTATACCTGCACATGCCCTGACTGCCAGGGTGTAATCACCTACATCAGAAATGACATACAAAGAACAGTTGAGAACATTGCAACTAACACAAGAACAAACATCCAAAAAGATACAATTTGGTACGTAGGTTGCAAATTCACAATATTTAACATCTACAGCCCCCCGGGAAATGACTGCTCTTTTTCATTTCTCCAAGAATCTGTATACAACAAAACAATAGCTGCAGGTGATTTTAATGGCCACTCTCCTCAGTGGGGATACAGAACATACAACAAAAGTGGAAAGGCCATAGAAGAACTCTGTGGCACGACAAACCTCTTTGTTCTACAAGACAAGAAATCTACCCCTACCCTTATACATAGGGCTCACAACACTTTAAGCAGGCCTGGTTTGACCATCCTTTCATCCAACCTCTTCCAAACATATACCACATAAGTCCTTGATGGCATAGGGAGCCACCACAGACCCATCATGACTTCAGTGTCGACCTCAAGCCAAAGACAATTTGCACAGAAGATCAAAATAACAGAGAAATGTGCTTTTTTCATATTGACTTAAAAGGTGACAAGCAAATTCCCACCTGGATGAAGTGAGGAACATTTTTTGTAAAGCGTCTTTTTCTAGGACATGACGCCAGTCCCCAGACCAGATTCGAATCCAAAGACCTTTCAGTTGCAAGCCCGACAGCCCAGCCACAAGACCACTGGCATCACAATAATTACAACATAAACGTGCATAACATCACCTGTTGAAGAAAGAGGTGTAGAAGTCTCCGAACCCACAGCTCATGCCATTGTCAGAGGAAGGTGACGCGGTGCACATGAGAGCGCAGTCCGTGCCATCGTAACGCAGATGCAGGAACGGCTGGGTCTCGATGTGATCACTGCACAGGAAAACACAATTTGTTTAAAAAATGCAGGTTTTTGAAATTTAAAAACATTTTTTTTTAAAATGTAGGTGTTTTTATTTTATCACCCCCATTGACAAAATTCATATAACTTATTTAGAAAATCATTATCTTTCTTCCTTCACTCTATTTACTGAATTAAGAGTTAGGTGTATAAAATTAAAATGACTTTTTTAAAAGTGTCTGGTGTGGTGTCAAACTATATGTTATTTCCTAAAAAACCCAGAAAATATCTTGTAAAAAAGCTTAGAGACGTTGATACATACATACATTCACGCACAAACATACACACACACACACACACACACACACACACACACACAAACATATACACATGCACATACACACACATGCTCACACAAAAACATACACACAAACAAACACTCACACACATACACATACTAAGACACACAAACACATACACAAACATAAACACACATTTACCTATCAAAGCCTTGCACCTTCAACTCTTCCTGACATTTCTTCTCTAGAGCTGCTATTCTTTCATTGAGCTGAGCAAAGTTTTCTGAAAAACATAAAACAGGCAAACACATAAAACAAAAGAACCTGTGAAAAGAAACTATTATACAAAATGTACTTATTTTTAACCATAAAATTATAATATATGATATATAAATATATGATTTGTAGCTGATTTCTAAATACAGTGAACTTTCTGGGAATTCATAAAACAGCAAACGTTTGCCAACAGACAGTATATATTATATCTTAAATAGCTATATAGTGTTTACACACACTGAAATTATCATGTATTAAATATTTTTGTATTTCTTTCAATAAGGCTCATATATATATATATATATATATATACTGTCCAACTTGCTATAACAACCACCTGTCCAAGACAATTACTGGCACAAACGACCACTTCCCCCATTTTGCTTGTTTGTTTTTATAAAGGCACTGTTTAAGATGTTCACTTGCATAAAACAATCACTTTTCTCAGTGACAATGGGTGGCTGTCTTGGCCAAAAAATCTGACCATATATGGTCGCTTTTAAGCACAAGGGGGCTATCCCAAAAAAAGCTGTTTTGAGAAAATCAAAGGAAAAGTTTTTGGACCCTTGTTCAGTTTCTTTAAAAGACAAGGAGAGTTTTCTCTATAACCAAACAACTATACAAACCAAATAAACCAAACTTCTCCTACAGGTAGGGCAATGTCCACTTTTGGTGTAGGTCAAGATTTCTGGAAACTCCCGAAACCTGGGTTCGCCCGCTTGTCCTTAAAAGGGACCATATTACTTCAAAACAAACCTCTAGCCAGTCGTTCTAATTTCATTTCAATTCTCTCTGGGACCTAAAAGCTCAGCCCTCTCTGCTGTGTAAATCTGCAGCTAACCAAGTACACATATACAGCTTGTTGCACTTGAGAAATACAGGTAAATATAGCTTTCTCAATGATTCAATGTTCACCTATACAAGAAGGGGATTAAATCCACGATCCTCTGACAGTTAGCCCAAAATCTTAACCACTAGACTTGAGTGCTGATCTATAGACTAACACTACTTTTATTTACAATTGTGTTGATGCTAAATGGTTTCATAAGGTGCATTTTCTGTCCTTTGATTCATCAGTGAAGTTGAGTAATAATTCTGCATTGTACAGGGCTTAGAACCTGCTATGGATATATAAAAATTCCCATTATTATTGTTATTATTATTACTATTATTATTACTATTTTAAAAATTATTATTATATTATTACTATTATTATTATTATCATGATTATTATTATTTTTATCATGATTATATCTATTCAATAGCCTGCACGGTATGGGTAGACTGCAAAAAATCTTGGCTGGATGGTGTCAGAAAGCTTCTCTAACAGAATAACTTATCAACAATAGAAACCACCAACTAAGCCCTCGGTGGAAAATTGCACCTTCCCTCGACATCTTTATTTGTTTGTTTGTTTGTTTGTTTGTTCGCTTGTGTAAAGAAAAGCACACCAACATGACAACAATCACTCCTCACTCCGTGCAGGGGAAAAGCAAGAAAGGCAGACAGACAAAGACAAACCCTCCAATTACCTGTGCCTTTATATCTAACGATACAAGGGAAAAGAAAAAACAAAAAGTAAATAAATACCTGCACTTAACCATACAAGAGGAAGGAAAAAGCAAAAAGTAAGTAAGTACCTGCACCTAATGATACAAGGGGAAGGAATTTTTAAAAAGTAAGAAAGTTTCAAAAAAAGTAACTAAGTAGCTGTACCTAACGATTCAAGAGGAAGGAAAAAGCAAAAAGTAAGTAAGTACCATAAAAAGTAAGTAAGTGCCTGCATTTAACGATACAAGGGGAAGGAAAAGGTAAAAAGTAAGTAAGTACCGTAAAAAGTAAGGAAGTGCCTGCATTTAACGATACAAGGGGAAGGAAAAGGTAAAAAGTAAGTAAGTACCGTAAAAAGTAAGTAAGTACCTGCACTGTAGGTTAGCGCCGATGGCTCTTGGGCTTCGTACACAACATCAGCCAAAGCCATGCCATAGGCTGACAGGATGCCAGCATATCTACAGAAATCGTGGTTACACATTGAAACAACTGTGAGGTAAGGAAAAGGAAACTGGTTGTTTTTTTGTGTTTTGTTTTGTTTTGTTTTTCTTTCAGAATCTGGTATTCTACCAGACACAGAATAGGTGAATTCATAGGCAGTGAAGAGGAGTTTCACTAGGGAACAGGCTGAGGAGATATTTTACAGATAGGATGACAAAAACTCTGGCCTCACTTAGTTTTGAAAAATATAACATGAACATATCATAGATAACGTTCAAACCTAACCACACCGAGAAGTAGGACTGTAGAGAGTCTCCACAAAAACATGATTTTTATAGTAATAAAGAATGTAAGAAAGACATTAGATGAACCTTTTTGAGTAATACGTGAGGCGGCGTGGTGAAATCAGGCACTCATCAAAATAATGAAATCAAAGATACCAGCATTTTTCTGCCACTTTGGCAATTTTTACTGAATTTTTGTCTTTTAGCTCAACAGTTCTTGTATTCATTTAAAAACGCATTTCAGTCTGGATTATGCTAAAAAAAATGGTGATTGAAAGCAAGAAAAATGTAAATTTCCAGTTTACAAGGACACTCAACATATAGAAGCCACCAAACTTTGGCTGCCAATTTCTCGCTTATTTTACCTCTGGAATCAGACGACCCTACTTCAATCAATAATCTCTACTTCTATTAAAGATCGATTAGTATTTGTTTCGTATTGAAAACAAGACGAATGAACAAGCCTTAATATGATATAATAACCCCGTAATATGCCCAAAAATTGACTAGTGCCCAATTCCACTATGCTGTGATACAAATGGTTACATGCCGAGATACATATGGTTACTGGAAGTGACAGATCATGGTTCTACATGCTGGTGGGGAATGCAATTGTTATATTTGCCAAACTTGGGACTATGTTGAAATAAAAGCCGAAATACGCATTCATTCACAACATGGGAGTACTGTTGATGACAAGTCAAGCAGAATATATGGCATTGTACCTATGAGATGTGAGTGAGTTTGGCAGGACAATCCAGGCTATATGAAAGTTTCAATCCACTCCTTGTTTTGGGAAATTGTTTAAAAAATGGATACGATCAAAATTAGAAATAAAAATTTAAAATAAAAAATAAGAAAATAAAATAATAATAAAAGCAAAAACAATAATGATGATAATAATAACCCTATGAGCTTTACACAATTCCAAGAATAAAGAATAATAACTGTGAAAAAAAGAAGTATACGAGATACTGACTTGTGTATATAGACCTCAGACATGCCCAGGGAGCGGGCGATGGCACAAGCGTGTTGGCCCCCAGCCCCACCAAAACAAGCCAGAATGTGCTTTGCTGTGTCATAACCTTTAGCCTGTGTGAAAAATACATAGAGTTAGCCAGCTGTTGAGATGTTTTAAGCCCAAAATTTTAAAACTTACCCCAAAAAAATTGCAATTTCTTAATCAGTGATATAGATTGCGTGTGTTCAAGAAACATTTTTTTGAAATTCAAATTCTAAATGACGGAAAAAGTTGTGTCCTTGGGAAAGGCACTAGACAAGAAATTATTTTTGACTCTGTCCTTTCAAAAACGGATGTTTAACTCGGGGGTTTCACCTCTTAAATAATCTACTAGTATTGATAGGGGCAGCTACACCACTTCACTATTTCAACATTTCAACAAAGAGTACATCGGTCACCTGAGTAAGGGCTCGAATGGGTCGGCACATCGCTTCGTTGGCAACTCTGATGAATCCCAGTGCTACTTCTTCTTTCGTCATAGGATCAGCTCCTTGCTCTTTTAAGAAGTCGTTCACCTGAAATAAAAACGTCAGAATATGCTGTGAGTGTAAAACCTTCATAAAATGAGATGAGACTGAAGACAGACTTAGTTCATCATCACATAGAATCAGTTTAGATAGTTGACAGACTTAATTGATCACCTCACAGAATCGGATGAGACTGAACACAGACATAATTCCTCAACATGGACAATTAAAACCAAAATGAACAGCAGTGAAGATTATTCACTTTTAAGCATCTATACATGCGACAATTAAAAAATATAAGAACACACAATCACCACTGTTTTCACAGCTGTATTGACAAATGAATGCATTCCATTCTTGCCCAAAAGGTCTGCTTTAATGCACATGTATGTAAACATAGGTCAGCAAATAAGTATTCATCTATCTTTACCGAATGTCCAGCTTTCGTGTCTGTTAGGTGAACAAAGTATTCAATTTCCCAAGTATTAAATCTTGCTCAATGAGTCGTTTTTGTATGACATTACTGCATGAGGATGTAAATTTAAAGAAGATCATAAGTACAAATAACAGTAAGATTTTATTATTTTTTATTTTTTCAAATGAACGTTTTTCTATGCCTCCATCGACACAATTTAGATCATTTAGAAGACAGGCTGCCAAACCAGCTTGTCAAGGGCATCCGAGCTGAGAGAGATGCAGTATCCCGACAGAAAGACATAGATATTTACTAATATTTTTCCCCCAACTCAGGAATTGAACTTGCATCTCCTGCATATAACAGTGAAGCACCTAACCTCTACATCACAGATGCCTGCCAGCTAGGCTTTAACTCTTTAAACCCTGAGTTTTTTTCACCGTTTCCCGGAGTATTTTCTACAGTCACCTAAACCTGGAGCACCTGTCTCATTATAACCCCAACAGCTTGCCTCCAACTTCTAAAGGGTCGAAACAAAGGTTTGGTCATTACTAAAAAACTCGGATCGAGAATAGTTCCAAAACACAAGAAAAAACTAGCATTAAATGAAGCGAAACAGTAGTCTCTAGTATCAGATGCTCCCAGGGTCCAATGGGGAACAGGGTCATTACAGCCGGACACTCACAGTGCCCGAATGGGTTTAAAGAGTTAAGGATGTAAGCAATATGCTGAGATATTAGCCAAAAAAGTCTCTAGTATGTATAAAAAGCCATGCAAAAAAGAACTCATACATTAAACCAAAAGGTTAAAAACAACAATCATTTCTGGAATCACACAAAAAAAAAAAAGAATCAAATTTTATTATTATAAGAAAATTGAGTACTTGGAAGACCCACCTCAGATGTAAGTAAGCCAAAAGCCTTAAGAGTGGCTGCCTTATCTAATGGCTTGTCCTCAGTTTTACCAAAAATGTGAGGGAAATACTCAGGCAGTAAACGTCCTAAACACAAGTTTGCATCTGTGATAGTCAAGGGTCCACCTGAAACGACAGTTTAAGCTCCTTGACAAGGGGAATAATAATAATTAAAAAATAAAAATAATAATAATAATAACTTACATTTATCTAGCATATGTCCTCTAGGGAAGTGCTCAGTGCGCTTTACAAGAAAACAAAGAAAATAGCTCCCTTAGGATCTCCTTTTACTCCCCCCCCCCCCACTTTCTCTCTCTCTCTCTCTGTTTGTCTCCTTTGTCTGTCTTCCTCTCTCTCGTTCTCTCACTCTCTCTGTGCCTCTCTCTTTCTCTCTCTCCCTCTGTTTGCCTCTTTCTCTGTTAGTCTGTCTGACTGTCTGTCTTCCTGTCTCATTTTCTCTCTGTGCCTCTCTCTCGTTCTCTTACTCTCTCTCTGTGCCTCTCTCTTTCTCTCTCTCCCTGTTTGCTTCTTTCTCTGTTAGTCTATCTGACTGTCTGTCTGTCTTCCTCTCTCTCATTCTCTCTCTGTGCCTTTCTCTCTCTCTCTCTGTGCCTTTCTCTCTGTGCCTTTCTCTCTCTCTCTCTCTCTCTCTCTCTCTCTCTCTCTCTCTCTCTCTCTCTCTCTCTCTCTCTCTCTCTCCAACCTCCCTCCCTCCCATACGACAACCCATTATAGTCCTGTGCAGGTTGTGGCGTCTCACCCTTCATATAGCAGACTGGCCCAGGATGTGCCCCTGCAGACTCCGGCCCCACCACAAACATTCCTGAGCGGAAGAACAGCATTGACCCACCGCCGGCCGCCACCGTGTTGATGTCCAGCTAACACAAAGAGAAACAACAAAACTTAATTTTCCAAGAAAGTCGTATTGAGAAAATGACAAATTACAGAGACTTTTTACGCCTGGAGCTGGTAATTACATAAATCTAAGCCATAAATGCCGAAAAGCAGACAAAGAATTGATATACGAGTCAATAAGAGTTTTACAACATTAGCAACCCTATTAGGTCTAGGTCATATAAGTGCCAAAGATTAGAGCTGTTACAAGAAAGTGACATACAAATAAAAAGAGGAGAGGCAAAAATGATTGATAGATCTATGTTTGATACAAGAGAAGGAGCAAATTACACCAAAGCACCTGCCAACTGCCAACCACTAATGATATATATTTTTTTCTTTTTATGGAGGGGGGGAGGGTTATCCTGAAAACAGTCGAACCTGCCCATTACGGTCACTCAAGATCACAGAGAATAGTAACCATTATAGGAAGGTGACTGCTTAGGACAGGATTTGAATCATGGTCACTTACTAGACTTGAAAAAGTCAACAGAGAGTGAAAATTCTTAAATCTAAATTCTATCTTTCAAATTCATTTGCTCAAAATTTCTCATCTATTATAATTATCTTACTGGATTGATTGAACATATTTTAGTGTAAGTGTAAGGACTGGTTGGGGTAAAACTTTTATATCAAGTGACTGCCAAGAGCAGATTTGAAGCCGACCTGTGACGTAAATGACTTAGGGTTACCATGTTTGACAGGGATCACTTCGGCCAGGTTAGAAAAGCAGGAAAAACACAAGGGTATCATGGAGCAGTGGCCGTTAGTACAGATGACTGCTATGGAGAGGGGACTGCTAAGGCAGGTGGACTGAACTTTGAACCCGACTCACTTGTGGGGCCTGAATTGTGATGCCTGCAGTGGTGGACTCAAACACATGCTCAAAGGCTCCAGCGAAACGGCTGACATCAGTCGATGTTCCTGCAACGAAAAAAAAATTGATTTAAATCACATGAAGATGGGACTGGCCAAATACAAAATTGTAATTATTGCAATTCGCAATCTGTGCTCCTAAAGAGGAAAAGAAACAAAACAAATAAATTGGGGCGTGTCCACATCTTTGACTGCTTGTTTGAGTAAACAGAAGCATACTGACATGATATTGGCCATTAAATGCAGGAAAAAATGTAAAAATAGACAGACAAAAACAAAAGAGAGAAAGAGCAGATGTTGGACCTACTAGTGGAGACCTCCAACCACCCACTCCTAAAAAGCCAAGAAAGAAACAGAACACACATATATAGTATAGACTTCTCTCCAACTCTCCAAAAAGTCATATCAACGTAAAAGTTGATCTCCCTGCCATAGCTACTTGGCAAGTACATTGTTCAGGAAAAGCAGCAAAATCACTGGTACAGATAACTGGTCTCACAGAACTCACAGTTTAGTACCATGCTGTCAAACCATTCAAATAGGTGCTGACATTTTTATTTGGAAGTGTGGGGGAGACAGTCAGATTATAAAAGCCCAGATAATACATTTGTGAGGCATCATGGTGAAATCAGGCATTGGTCAAAATAAAGAAATCGAAGTAATCGGCATTTTTTGGGCAATTGTTTAATAATTTTCTTTTCTTGACTCAGCAACTTTTATGTCCATTTAAAAGCACATGTTTGTGTGGATTTCACTGAAAAACATTGATTAAAGGCACAAATAATGTAAATCTTCAGTTTCCAAGGACTCTCCAGCTATCGAAGTTACTATACTTTTGTGGCCATTTTATCGCTAATTTTACCTCTGAAACCAGAGGACCCCCACCTCCCTCAATTGTAAATATCTCTACTTTTATACAATATAAACATTTTTTACTTCATCGAAAGCAAGGCAAATGAATAAGCTTTCAGATGATACCTATACTCCATATGCCCCAAAATTGAATTGATTCCACCATTTCTTGACACATTTACCTATCAAATCACAAAAAATCTTTAAAATCCACCAACTAAAAGGATCTGAAATATAAGAAAGAATATCTTTATTCAGATACCAACTTCCTTTTTGACAGTCGGACAGATTAAACTTTAACATTACCGGGACAGGCTGAGAGCCATGAAGGCCGCACTAGTACAAAAGGCGAGACAGGATTTACACACGACTTACCTCCCATGTCAAATCCAATGACTGGCACTCTTCTCTCTCGGCTGTACGTGGTCTCCGCATAACCAACAACACCGCCCGCAGGACCAGACAGAATGGCATGAGAGCCCATGAAACTGACAGGATGAAAACATAGTTCGTAAATAAAGCACCTAAAAACCGTGAGTACTGCGCCAAGACAGAACTAGCTAGAGTGCTCAGACCATCACAGTGCAAAACAATCTTGACACAGCTCTAAGCTGTGACTGTCTCACTATTGCATGAGGAGAGTGAAATAAAGCCTACATCTCTATCCCAGCAGAAAACACCTTCACATACCCTCAATGACCATGAGTGTGTGCCTCACGAACTGGCCTCATGAGCCTCACGTGAACCCACAACAACAAAAAAAGAAAAAAGTGAAAATGAAAGACTGCAAGAACAAAATCATCAGATCGCCGGCCTGCCATTGTGCTTGCTTATACTTATGCATTTGACAATGTCCTGCTTGCTTTCCTTAATTACTGATTGTTACAAATGTCAGGTTTTGACCTATGACATTCATTTACCTTTATCTTATTTCACTTTTTGTCCTCCAGGATCTACCTTTACATATACAGAAAACAAAACAGGGAGCAAAAAAACAACAACTCAACCCAACAATGTTAAAAACCAAATCTAAACAATTAATGTAGTCAGAAGAACAAGAAAGCTCAGAGAGTTACCAAAAAAAAGAGTATGTGCAAAGTTCCATAATAGCAGAAAACTAAGCAAAGCCAAAGTCATCTTCATGGGAGCTGATGTCTTTCAAATGTACTTTCCTAGTGGCATATAGAACAGAAAAAGAGGAGGACAGCAAAAGCAGAAAGTATACAGAGCACTAAATTAATTTTACCTTTCCATAGGTGTCAGTCCTCCATCAGACCTCATGAATAAAACTTTCGCATCCTTGAAATAAATGATCAAAAAAAAAAAAAAAAAAAAAAAATTAGGACCACAAAAGTGTTTCCCATTTTGGCAAAAAGATAAATTGCTTGTATTCAAATATCAGGCAAAACATGAAATGTTGAATTCGTTTTATAAATAAAATACATACTTATTAATGAAGGAAAAGTTCAGGATGTAACAGTTGAGAAAAAGAGGGTCAATGTAAGTCAAGAGTGAACAGTAACGAGCTAGTCTATATCGTACACAGGTAACCTAAAAATACAGCAATTTGGTTACTGCAAAGTTTACATGTTCGAAAAATAATTTGCTGAAAAAGTCAATCACGCAAAACAATTTGAACATTCTTATATATAATCAAGGTTCTTGATTGATAACAACAACATACAATCAAGATCCCTGGCTATGTTCTTAGGCAAGCATGAAGACAAAGAAGATGTACAAAGCAATAATCCCATATACGAGAGTCTCCTTTATGTACCTTCATGTACACGTATCATATAAGGAAAGTGAAGCATTAATTCTTATTTCTATCTTTCCCTAACATAACTTTTCATCTTGAATTACCTAAACAATACATGGAACATGATGGATCAAGAGTAGTTTACCTTTTAGCCAACCATGTGAGTAGATTTGCTAATTTAATTAATGATCATTTATTAGATCAGAGTATACATTATCGAAAAGTTATCCAGAGCAAAATTGACAAAAAATATGGAAAAACAAAAACTTGACATGTATAAGTTAATCAGACCTGCAAGCCTTCCTTAAATCCATCAATGTACTTTTTGATGCATGGTGTCAAATATGCATCTGCACAGGCTGAAAAATAACAAAACAAAGATTGACAAAAAAGTCAAACAGAAACAAACCAAAAAGCTGTAAGCGGAAAAAACATTTTTTTTAAAGATCTGAACAACCATGAGAGTGACAACAAACAGGAAACAGATGTCAAGGTGTAAGGACAAATAGACACACTCTAACCGTGGTTCATATATTCTTCAAATACTCTTTATACATTCCCAGTCCACAGAAAAATAGACACATCCAAATCTTATATCATTGACAAGATTTCTTTTTCGTTAAGTAATAAAAGTTTGACAGTTGTGGACAATTTTGGAGTCAGTTTGTATCTATATTGAAACTAAAAATCAAACGTACCCCTTATCTCATATAATACAACATTTTATGGTCCCAACTCAAATTGTTGTATTCCTTAAGCCCTCAAAAGAGGAACTAACAACAAATATTCCACCTCCAGACACAGAAAAAACCTCTAAACTACCACCCAAACTGAATCAAACTGGAAGAGTCACCAATGTGCGTGCTTTGCGACCACATTTCCAAAACAGTCCAAGTTCTGATCTTTGAACGTCTGAAATTACAGGATTTCCGACATCAATTTAAACCTCCCATCCCAACCACAGACAATAAATACTCTATACAGCAAAAAAGAACAAATCTTCGAGACGTCCTCCTTTTTTAACAATGCATTGGGCCAAAGAGCACATGATCAAAGGCTACTAGATTAACAAATAAAGAAAGAAGAAGACGTGACTGTACGCAGCAGTAAGGAGACAGCTTACCTGTGTAGCCTCTGGGCACTATCCGGATCATTGACATCACGTTGGAAGAAAGAGAAACATTTGAGAATCCCATCTCTTTGGCTAGGTTTCCAATGAGTTCTTCATGATCTTTGTAGCTGTAAATGAAGGGAAACAACATATCATAAGTCAAAAATATTTTGTTGAAATAATTCAAATTCTAAATGTAAAAAAAAAAAAAGCAAGAAAGGATATAATATAACGCAGGTGAAATTTTTGAAAGAAAGGAACAGTTTTTTCCCTCTCCTAAAAAATATTGCTGTCTGGGCCTCTTACATTTGGACAGCTTGCTTTTAATAAATTTGTTTTCAAAATCTAGTAATAATTATTTAATGGGTTCCCACAAAATATAACACAATATAACACAACATACTTCTGAAAATGCTCAATATAAACCAACAGCTTAAAATACCAAAAATTAGGACTTACATATAGGAGTGCATGAGAACAACAGCCAAACTTTTGATTCCTTTGTCCAGGACCTTTTGCAGATCTTCGCGCAGTTTTTGTACATTCAGCGACGTCCACATTTCCAACTGCAATTCAAAATCAAAACCCATCTTTGATGCACAAAATTTGATGCTAATTGACCTTCTATGAACAATTGTTAGGCAATGCTCCATTTTAAACATCTATCATCCGTATCTTTCCTCCTTGTCAAGCTAAAAGTAAAGCAGAAAACAGGTACAAAATAGACGAAAAACAATTCTTAAGGGGGGGGGGGGGGGGGGGGGGGCTACACCCAAAAAGTCCCGATTCGGGAGAAAATTATGGATTTTGAGTTATAGGCCTAATTAGCTTCTTCATCCTTTCCTATAACTATTTCATAGCATAAGAACCCCAAAAAGCTTTATTTCTTCCCATACCAGGCATGTTTGTCACCACTATTTCCTCTTCTTTATAATCTCCCGTTTTCTCAAAATGCGGTTTTTCTATATACTTGTTTGTATAACTCCACCATTTTTCATCCAATCTTTATGAAATTTTAACAGAATGAAGAGAAGAAGTAATACAAAAAATCTGAAGATTTAATTTTTTATACATTTAATAGATTTTTCCTAGTGGTGTCCTGGAGCGTGGATTTTCATGGAATTTTGGCAAACTTGAATACTACTTCACAAAAAAATTAATAAAATATCTTCTAATTCATTTAGGAAAAATTCAACTAATAAATTTGGAGACCTAATTTTTGTTAACACGTAGGCAAAAAAAAATCTATTTCCATGAAAAATAAGAGCAGTATTCATAATGTAAGACATGTCAATAAAATCCAATATGGCCGCCATATACATGGAAACAAAACTTTTTCTCAAATTTGATTGCGGATTTTTAAGACTCCATGCTATGCTTGTTGAATGTGAGAAATTTGGTACAATTTGACCTGCTAATTGGCGAAATATCCTTCAGGTGTAGCCCCTCCCCCCCTTAATCACAAATTTATAATAATGAATAATAATACAAATTATTTTAGTAGGCCATATCCCTACTCAACAGTTAACTCTATGTACTTTACAATTATATTATTACCCCAGAAGACCCTAGAACACTCAGAAATATTCTAAGCTTCCCAGAAAGTGTACAATGCAAGCAGCCAAAAAAGAGCTCATACTCATTAACAAACCGAAAAGATTGCTCTTTGTCTACAGCCGCTGGGTAACCATTCCAACCACAGTGAAGTGAAGAAAATTTGTGTGAAGTGCCTTTCCAAAGGACATAACATCGGGCTACTTACAAGATTTGAACTCGTGCCAAATACAACTATAGAGAGGTACTTACACGTTCTCCAGTGGTTCCCGTGACCACTTTATTACTGCCATCAGACTGATTCTCTCCTTGGTTCAGCACCATGCGTTCTTCAACTTCAACGACATCTTGATACAAATTTTCCGGGCTTACAATTTCCTGATGAAAAATATCTCATTATATGAATTTAGCACTATAATTCACTTTTCATCTTCAAGTAAAGTAAATTTTGTTCATGACTCAAAGGGTATTACTGAAAATAGTAGATAATCACAATATTCACTTTAATGAGCAATAACAAATACCAAAATTAACCATAAATAACCAAAAAAGAACATTTATAAAGGTAACAAAACATAAATTTATAGTTTGATAATCTGTCCTACTGTCCTAACAATTCCATTGAAATTTATTGTTAAATAAAATTTAAAAAACAAAAACTTAAAAGTAAGATCTAGCCTTCATAGTCTTTTAAATGTTGGCACTGCAAACCTGCTTTCTAACTTTGCTTTCGAAGTTTGAAAGATAGGAATGTACAATTCCGACTTTCATGAAAATGAACATTTTCTTTAACATGTTGTAGCAGTGTAAACAATTCTCTGAAACTGACCAGGTCAAAAATGTTGGGGCGTGCCTGGTTGCCAATATGCAGTAAGTCCTTAAACCCGTTAGTGATCACCAATGCCATCGGTTCTCCTTTCCGTTCAAGCAAGGCATTTGTGGCAACTGTTGTCCCCATGCGGATCCAGTCAATAACGGAAGTGTTAATATTTTCTTTCTGCGAAGTTCCTAACTCCTGGAGGAAACATAATATTAAAAATGAGACATGTTGACGTTGATAAATTATATATATATATATACTTATTGTGTTCAAAAGGCAGAGGGGCAGAAGAGAGAAAGAGAGAGAGAGAGAGAGAGAGAGAGAGAGAGAGAGAGAGAGAGAGAGAGAGAGAGAGAGAGAGAGAGAGAGAGAGAGAGAGAGAGAGAGAGAGAGAGAGAGAGAGAGAGAGAAAGAGACAGCAGAGATTGGAGACAGAGTAATGAGAAAAGAATAATATCTAAAATTATATATATATACTATTAATATCCCTAATGCCCTAATTGAACAAAGTACAATACATAAAGTAATGAGTAAGTTGGCTATTAAGTGAAAACATTACAGGCCTTAGAACTTGGCCTAGATCAAGACAAGGTGTCCACGAAATAAAATGGTATTCTTTTACTTTTCCTCCCATTTCACATTTACCTATTATGTGTCCATTTTCTACTAGATGTACATATTAATGTGCTGAACACTAATATCGAGACTTCATTTCAGTCGCAAATTAATAGTCAAAAAAGTATTTGAAGGTTTATTATTTATCCCACTAATCATAGTAATTTCCGCGTTTTTGACCAATTTGGGGGTTGCCCCCCCCCACCCCCAAAACCAAGAATAAAATCTGTAGGGTTTTAGCATATATATAATTTATATAATTTGATGTTCTGCAGTTAAGTTTGAAATTTTCTAGAAAATAAATGATTTGCGACAGTTATACTGGCTATGTGTAATCTGCAGCAAATAATACTGGGCACTCTTCGGGACGAGTGGTCCCGGCCTAACTCCATAGAAATTTATACATAAAATTAGAAACAAAAACGGAAGTCAAGTAAAAAAGCTGACAGAGTTGCCAGGCTGAAAAGGCCACTGGTAAGGTCTAAACCTATTTTAGACTATTTTTCGGCACTATTTTAACATTTTTTCGTGTGCTGATAACAATTTTGTATTTTATAAAACTGTCACAACCATTATTTTTGTGAATTTAGCAGGGGGGAGAACCCCCTCCACTCCCCCTCCTCTCCACCCCCCCTCACCATCCTTTTTTTACGTGACTTCCGTTTTTGTTTCAGAATGTGTACATAATGTATACAGGAAAAGGCTAGCTGTACTCAATGATGGGTAGATGGCTAGTATGGATAATATAGGTCAATTTCCGAATGTTTTGTACTCAAATTGTTCTTTTTACCCGCACAATGGTATTCATAACTATCAAATAAGCTTATTTTTTTATCAGGTAGTATAATTTCATACAAAATCAAGCTCATTTGAAAGATTTTGTGTAGAAAAATACAAGTCTTGTTTCCCGACTTTCAAGCGTCTCATGTCTAAGTGGGACAATTTGTTCTAATTTCATTGGACGAACTTCTAAAGCTATCAATTTGGTGTGTTTTGAATGAGATGTATGCCTCGTTTACGAACCAACTCAGGTGGTTCTAGAAGTAGGCCTCAAGAAACACACACAAACTCAAGCGGACTGACGCACAAACACTTGAGCTGTGTGAATGCCGGTCCGAAGCAGGACCCGAATGGAATGGAGATGATGCTCGGCGCGCGGGCGCTGAGACATAGGCCGGACTGACATGGGACCGAAACGAAGGCGAGGTGTCGTAATGGGCTTATCGGGCGACAAGCCCAGCCTCCGCAGGAAGAGGGTTAAGGACGGTTAGATTGGCAGGCTAGCCGAACTTAATAAAGATGGCTGAATTGTAAATAACATTTTAGTTTGCAATATTTTAAAGTATTTGAATTTCACATAAAACCAAAAGGTGCCTTATAATTGACAATCATTGACATACATGATAATATTTTGAACCTGAATAGTAACTTGATGATCTAATGAGACCAGTGTACTCAACACGTTTCAGTCAATACAGCCAAACCTAGATCTAGACGGCTAAGGCTAGCCGTACCTTAGGACGGCTAGACTATCAGGCTAGTCGCACTGATTCGTTACTGAAGTACATCTACGGGTCAGCCACTTCGATCTATGGCGACTATGGCATGGAGTTAGGTCCGGACCACTTCTCCCAAAGAGTGCCTAATACTGCAGTTAGAACCTCAAAACAGTGCACTGTCACCGTGTGAGGGAGTGAACGTGAAAATTTACCAATATCTTATAAGAAAACAAAAACCAGATCAACAAACTTGTTCAATGATGCGTCGAATGGCTTCTTTTGGAGCATCGGCATAATTCTCTGGATCTTCGGAAAGCAGTTTCATCACACGGGTCTCTCCACTGGGCAGACGGGCCCATACGTCTGTGAAAGTGCCCCCTCGATCAATAGCAAACTGAAACTTTCCATTTGCAGCTTTCGTAGACATCTTTTTCTTCGCTAGGCCTATCTAATTGTCTCTTTGGATGGGAGAAATAAGAGAAGAGAGGTCAATTTTTGTTGTTGTCCAGGCACTAATTATTGTTTCTCGACGTAGACTTGGAATGTAGATGATGCAGTGGAAGTCAATATCCGAGAAGCCGTACAAAAATTAATTCGCTGTTTCAAATCTATTTTTGCATCTGAAGAGCAATGTCATGCTGAGTTGTCTGTCTGAATGTTGTCATGAACTTCCCAGTCAATGCTTGGACAGCCACATTTCACAAAAAAAGTATTCAGGCAATCGTAGTTCGGGAAACAAGAAGCACTAGCAGGTTGCCCTAGACTGACCGCATCAAGCAGCCGCCAAGAAAAGAAACCACTTCACTTTATAAGACGAAGGCCCAGAAAGCACGTATCACATTCCCTGCTCTCAAACCCTCACTATCGCAACAAAGGAGACATTGATAGCTTCCTTCTACTTTGTAATCTGCATTGTCTATAAGCAACAAACTAGCTTCGAATTAATTTGCGAGCACTAAAGCAGTTGCAATAATATCATAATTATTGGGCACCACATCGGTACTTCAACAATCAACAACAGAACAACACAGGCCGTTCTTCAACTTATTACACATTCCGTGCACAAACTGCATGCCTGCAGCCTTACTCCATTCTAAAGCTGGTGTGTTTTAGAGTTGCGTTGGAGCACAAACACACATTTAGTTCTGCAAGCCCTGGGCTAGTCACACCAGAGAGTTTGGTCACACTAAGAATTTAATGGGGAGGGAGGTGGAGTGTGGAGAGACACGTGCTAGGAAAAAAAAAAGAGATAGAAATATGCCATAGTTGATTAAGTAGGCTGGTAGATTGTCTTTGTTTTTCA